TTTCAGGAACTTTATAAAGACATTTAAAAGTTGAGATTGAAAACTTAAGGATCTTAGTTTTCAATAACAACCAAGTTATTTTGAGTGAGGAATATAGAAACTTGTGTTCCCAAATTGCTCTGATTTTTATAAGGGTTTTGTGCAGTGTACATATATTCACGTACATCCATAACAAAATATGATAATATCTTTGGTTTGAAGAAAATAGCATCTAAAGCTAAGACTATTTTAAAGAGCCTAGTTCACTGTGAGCTTTGAGATATGATGGGTTAAACATTATAAGGCAAAGATAAATATCATGTGTCCTAACTGAAAATGTAATGTGACCCTTCAGGAGCCTCAAGCTTTTCTAGGAAGGCAAATCCTATGCTGGCCTCAGGGACCATATGGTATCTGCATTTGCTTAGCTAAACTAATAAAATGTCTGTTATGTGAACTGAGGTCTCCTTAGTTTACAGTAGCTGTTTTTACCTAATTATGCAGTGACAAGCTTGACTTTCACACAGATGTCTCAGATGTCACAGCTTTGGCCTGCTGACAAAGGCCTATGCTTTTTTTAAAAATTAATTTTATTAAGAGACAAATAGCAATGAGACAGTTTCAAAACTGATTAATAGGATAGTTTCAATAATTAGTACATTGCATATTGTTGTCTAATAAAGAAAAATCCTAGCGCAGCAGTTGGTGCCTGCATAGATCTAGCTACTGTAATTTGTGACAGGTCTACAGATTGGCTAGCTTTCTAGATGAGCAGGTACCAGCCAACTGTCCATGATTCCTGCAGGAATCGTTGCTGTCTACAGAGAAAGAAGATGATTTTAAGTGATAAATTCATAACACATCAATAACAATGAATCACAGTGATGATCTTTTCAATTTTCTTTCTTTCTTTCTTTCTTTCTTTCTTTCTTTCTTTCTTTCTTTCTTTCTTTCTTTCTTTCTTTCTTTTTTTGTGGAACCAGGGATTGAACTCAGGCCCTTGCACTTGCCAGGCAAGCACTTACTCTACTGACCTATTTCCCCAGCCCCCATTTTTGTATACTTCTGATTGCATCAAAAAGTCTCAGAGAAGTGCTTCTGTGTCTTCTGACATCTTCCAGGCTCCTCTTTTTTAAGTAGAGAGAATAAGTTTTAGACAACTTTTTTGAGTAAGAATATTTTTTAACTAGAACTAAATAAATGTTATAATTTTATGTATATTAAAAAACAAAAAATAAAAAACAAAGGCCTATCCTAGTGAGATATTTCACTGAATGATGTCCCTTATGGTCCCAGTCTTTATTGGTTTTCATTTAAACCAATGAAGTGCTTAATTACTGAAGTTGCCAATGACAATAGCTTTTTGTTAAAAAAAATACAGACAGCTAGGTAGGTAGGTAGGTAGATAGATGATAGATACATACATACATACAATACATACATACATACATACACACATACATAGTAAGTTAGCTAGAACTCCAACCAGGCTAGAAAATAACCTTGATTTTCTCATTGGAAACCCTTTCTCCTGGACTCAGTCCAGTATTCGCCATCATAGGGTCTCGCCAAAGATTATTGAAAACAAAAGTCAGGCTGGGGATATAGCTCAGCAGCCTAAGTGTCTTCCAGGCAAGTGTAAGGTCCCAAGTTTGATTCCTGGTACCAGGAGGGAAAAAAAAGCAGAAGGCTTGTGGGATCTTCTTTCTTTTAACTTGGAATTCTTTTCATGACTTCAGTTGTACTTTATATATACTGAGATGTTTAATGATTCTAGTATTACTTACTGAAAGCGTTTAACAAGCATTAAGGTAAGACAACTTTCTCAATAAAAAAGCCTTTCTGTCTTTCTGTTTGCAGATCAGAAACACATATTAGTTTGCCTTTTTAAAATATGCATTCAGAGGAACATACTACAAAGTCATAAATTTATGAATAAATAAATTTATGTTATAAAATATTTCATTTCTTTTGCTAAAGATGCATGTACTTTCTGTGTTGTTAAAATTGTGTCAAAAGATGATTTTAGTATAGTTTCCCTAGTATAAGAACTCAAAAGAAGAAATACAAATAGAAAGGTATAATACAAGTAAAAGGAA